CAATAAATGTAAAATAAATTATCTGTATCTTTAAAATTTACACTTAATCTATTAATAAAGTTTATTGAAGCAAGACTCTGTTGGATGTAAAAAAAAAAAAAAAAAATGTGACATATGCCAATGACAAGAAAAGCCCACATGAACTGAAGAATTACGACAAATAAAAGTTTATATATGTTCACCGAATAGGCATAGACATTATGAAATCTCTAAAACTAATATCTATAATGAAAAGATATATAGTAGTGGCCACAGATTACTTCAAGAAGTAGCTAGAAGTGAGAGCAATCGAAAAAGCTGATTCGATGACTGTCATATAGTTTCTATATGACAAAATCATTTGTTGCTATAGTTGCTCAAGAGAGATACTGTCTGATAGAGGAATGGTATTCATTAGTCAAATAGTAGTTAACTTAATAAAGATAATGGGAGCCCATCACAAACTCACATCTGTGTACTACTTACAAAGTAACAGCCTAATAGAATGATTTAACCAAATGTTATGTAGGGCTTTGGACAAATGCATAGTAAAAACACAACACGACTGTGATGTACAGATACCCCCAGCCCTCTTTGCGTACTGAACAATTAAAAACAGGACAATGAAATATGAACCTTTCTATTTGCTCTATGGCCACATCTCCACATTGCTCTTAGAACTCGATATTATTATTTGGCCAGCTGCAGAGATCAATGAAAATCAATATGAAGACCTAGTTAACAGAAGAAACAACAAAATCATGGGGAGATTTATTGATAATAAGATCAAGACCCCTAGAAATATAAAGGACATTCAAATGAACCAGAAGAAACTTTATGACATGAAGGTTAAAGCGGTGATATACAATATCAACGATATGGTGCTGGAATATCACTCAGATCATCAAAATGTTCATGGAGATAAATTTTGAGATAAATAGTTAGGTCCTTTCTTTATCTACTAAATTTTGAGAAATAGATCATACATACTGTGAACTACAAGTAGAAAAATATACAATGATTAATCTGTACACAGAAACTGTTTAAAGTTTTATAAGCAAAGGGATTTCATCTCACATGAGATGACAGGAGTGCATGGAGACTCTTGAACTTAAGAGGAAAGCACAAAACTTCCCTTGTCACAACTGAAACATTTAATATGACCCATCTACAAGTCCTTGAAGGTTTCCTCGAGTGAGAAATGGGTTACGTAAAGAACTAAATGAAATTTCCAGGGAAACACAACTCATAATAGATGGAACTGAAACATATCTAACAGTGGAAGGGTGCGTGGTGAACTTGATAGAACCTGCGAGTAGCAAAGGAGCATGATAAGAGAATAACATATTGCCCCTATATACTTTGGACATAGTAGTGACGTCAAAAAAGATGCATAATTTAACAGGAACTATGTCTAATCACGATATAGCAGGACTGCTTTCGATAGCAACAGACCCAGTTAACCTGAGTGGGTAACGAGTGAACACTTACAGAAAGCTTGGAGATTATATTTATGCTTTCCAAGAAAACTGTACGGCTACGTTAATAAAATGAGAGTTGCAAAGCCACACTCACCAAAATAGACTATGAACTTATCAAATAGTACAGAAGATAAGAATACTTATTCAAGAAGTCAAAATATTATGGTCAGGAAACTTCTAGCTGGTTACTTCCGATTGGATCTGTAAGCTTTCAAAACAGGAATACGAAAAACTAGTGGAAATATGTATTGAGCTGAATCTACAGGTGATGAATGATCTTTGGAGTATGGAGATGGGGTCGCAGAAGTTCTTCCTTGAAGAAGAAAATGTTTGAGGTGATACAAATATCACAGGGAATACTGTACAAGAATTGCGGAAGGTTACAAAGTTACAGAAAATGGTAGCAAGATTACAGTGTTACTTGAGGATAAGTGTACTACTATCTAGATAACAGATTTCTCACCCTTGTACAGCATTTTTTATCCTTGTGTGTTATTCTCGGGAAAAAGGAGAAAATATGTTTGGATGTGACAACAAAAAAAAAAGGAAAACAAATTGAACGGTATAAAAGTAATTAGCAGAAAAAGAAGAAAAAAAGGAGAGATTCCTTTTTTCATGAAAACTTTTAAATCATATAACTTTCTTACCTTAATAACGAATTTTCTAATAATTATATCATAAAAAATAATTTCATAAAAATCTGAATATTTCATAATTATATTATTTTAAATAATTTTCTAATAATTTTTAGTAATAAAAAAATACAAATAGTTTTGAAATAATCTTAAAAATAATAAATAATTTTTGTAATAGTTTTTAATTTTAATAGTTTCGTGCATCAGAATAGCAATAGTATAAGATATGCTAATACAGTAATATATTTCTATTGACCTATTCTTTCAATAAATTTTTGGTAAATATTTTAATAAACTTTTCTATATTTCTCAGCAAGTTACTTCAAAAGTTTATTAAATTTCAGCAGTATACGAAATAAGTAGCGAAGATACTTTTACTACACTTGCTCATCATACTTTCAGATCATACATGTAATTCCATTGTTGTTTGTAAGTGTTAGTAAGCAGGTTTAGATTGACTGATTGCTTGTCTTGCTGTGTTCTGAGATATTGTGCACAAGAAAAAGAGTGTTAATAATACATTGAATTATTGTGTGATCAGCTTGACTTTTCACTTTGTTCTGCGCAAACCGTGACAGCATATATTTTCTTATGTCAAAGCTTGCTTCTTGTGATTTACTCGTTTAGTTGTTTATCTACTAATAAGTTTTTTTTATCTCTCCTCCTGTCATAAGATTTCACTTTTCTTCTGCTTGAAAAGAAAATCAAATGATATCTCACCTCAAAAATGTTCTTTGCAGATCACATATTTAACCCAATCAAAATATGAATAAAAAACTAATCAGCACACTAATTTATGCAGATCATGAATCCGTTTATTTTAGTATTATATAGATAAGACGTAATTAATGATGAAAAATTTTATTAATGTATCTTTGTTCTTTCAAAAATATTACATTTCAATTTTATTACATAAAATATAATATATATTATTTATCTTTATTATTTTATGCATTTATATCACTTGCATCTTAGATTAAATTTTATATTATGAATTTCAAACTTTGTCATCTATAACTTTAAATAAATATCAATTGAACTTTTGTCTCGAGTCATTTGTATCTAAGCTATCATCATGATCATTACGTGTCAGATCATAATAAACTAGCGATTATAATTTATTTGCTATTTTATCATCTTAATTTCTAATTTTAGCAGACTACTCATTGATATAAAACTAAAAATTATTACTAATTTTATAATGATTATTTGTATTTATAGCTAGATTTTATAATTGAGTTTGAAAATATAGTTGGAACTAAGAAATAAAAAAAAATTCTGTCACAGTAATTTTATATTAATGAATATTTGATCATATCCTAATTTATGTAAATTAAATATTAATTCTTTGTGACTGGAACTTCAGAAAAGGATTCAAAATTCACACAATCAGTTTTTCACTTCATTGAATTATAGATGTGTCACAGCTTACTCTTAATAATGACTATAATCTAGTTTGAGAATGTCATACAAAATGAAAAAATGCCTTCTAGTGTTTTTTTTTTTTTTTTTTACATTTTATTTCTAAGTAACCTTCACAAATATACTACTCAGTCATTAAGAATTATCTTTTTATTTTCTTCCATCAGAAAATACTCTTCCTAATAGATTTGCTCTCATTTACGTCAATACAACTGAAATTTCCTTCAGAAAGATAAAAAATTTCAATTTTTTCTCAACAAAGTTATAAAATTGAATACATATTCACAGAAGTTATAAATTTTAATTGTCGCATAGGTAAAATTAAGACAATACCTTTCTAAATAACTAATTAATAGTTATGATAAAACTTATTTTTTCATGTCTTTATGGTATGAGCAAGCTACTGATTATCTTCATGCAAATGAAACTCAGTTTTTCTGACTATTTTAGGTGAATTAGAAGATAAAAAAATATAAATAGTAAGAAAAAGATTTTTTTTTGACCCAAAGTTGAGTGTTTTTCTTCTTTAATCATTTGCTAGTAGAATTGCAATAATGAATATAAAGATCATGATTCTCATGCATGGGAATAAATAAAATGAACTTAACAAAAAATGCAACTGTGAGTTGGGTGAATGATTAAAATTGTTACACCTGAGTAATAATTATTTGAATACATCGTGGAGATGTATTCACTTGTTTAGGTGTATTTATTTTGTTGTTTCAGTTGAATCAGAGTATTTTTTTTTTTAAAAAAAATTGTTGTAATCTGATTATAAATATAAATTCATAGAAGAAATGAAAGGTCAGGAGAACCTAAGAAAGTGAGAAAGAGAGAAAGGAGAAAGATAGTTATGAGATATTTACGTTTAAGATGTTTCTATAACAGCCCGAAAGTCCCAGTTCTTGGCTGCAAGGTGACATGTGTTTAATTCTTTTAGTATCAATATTTTCAGAGATATTTGCATTCGAAGTTGAACGCTCATAAAAAATTTTCTTATGTCTAAAATTTCTGAAAAAAGTTAGTTAAATTTTTATGATGTTCAAATTTGAATGTTAATATTGATTTTACAGGAACAAAATATATATCATAAAGTAGACAAGAACTGGGACTTTTGATCTGGCATAGAAAGATCTTATTCCAATTTACAGTTAAAAATGACGAATTAAGTTTATTTTTTATAATAATTAACGAAACAGGTAATACATTATATTATTTCTTATTTTAATATTTACAAATTGTTTCACTTATTATAACCAATAAAAATTCTAATGGTAAATAACAAAATAATAAAAAACAATAGAAATAGTCCTATATTTTTTTTTTTAATCATCAAAACCTTTGTTCTGTAAATAATGAATATCTAAATTACTCTCAGTTTTAAATAATAAATTTACTTTAAATAGGTTATTTGTGTAATGATTTATGATTAATTTATAAATGAAATCTCACTTTGGTTATTAATACCAATTTGTAACAAACTAAAATATTTGTTTTTGTTCAAAAGCAAACAATGGGAGAAGCTTATAGAAATTTAGTTTGTCTCAGCTTTAATTTCAATCGAATTCTAAAATTTCACAAAAGGTCTGCTTTGTTATGTAATAAATTACTTTCTACTTACAATTGAAATATCATAATTGAAGATTTTTAATCATATAAATGATAACGCTAAGTACATCATTTAACTTTATTAGCTTCCATGCAAATTAGATATACATAATCAATTTTAAATAATAAAACCTAACCTATAGTAATTTTATTATGATATTTTTTTTGTAATCAAATTATTAAACAATAAATTATGTATTTCTTCATTTTAATTATATTAAAATTTTAATGAAATAGAATTGAAAAGAGTTTGGGATAAAACATACTTAACTTTAGACTAAAATATTATTCATAAAACATATATTCAGCGTGAAAAATATTGAAAGAATATGATTATAAATGATTCATCTCTCACAGAAAATGAAAAGAAATTTTTACTTGATGAAATATGGGAAGCATATGATATATATTAAATTGGTAAACAATTGAAAGAATTGGCAACATAATACTGTGAATTTTGTATTTGTAAATATTTAATGTTATGTTATGAATGGATGAAAAGTCTGTGTTCAGTTTTTATAATAAAAACTAGTCATTTATTTTTTTTTGGGGTATCCACTACATAAATAAGATTGGAATTGACAATGTTAATTAGTGTCACATTTGTTATACATTTTTTTTAATTTAGTTTAAAAAA